AGCAATAAGAAAGGCATATGCACGGAGAGTAGGTGGGATGGCAGGAGGCAGAGCTGTGCGGGAGCCTTTCTGATGCCCCTGTCTCCTCAGGAGGAACAGGCAAACACCAACCTGGCCAAGTTCCGCAAGGCGCAGCATGAGCTGGATGAGGCGGAGGAGCGTGCCGACATCGCCGAGTCCCAGGTCAACAAGCTGCGGGCCAAGAGCCGCGACATGGGAGCCAAGGTGGGACCTTTTCCCTGCCCAAGAGCTGCCCCATGGCTGCCCCACAACAGCCCCATGATCACACTCCCTTTTTCTCCTCCATCAGAAGGGACTCAATGAGGAGTGAAGCTTTGGATCCCCACCTATCCTACCTGAATTCGCAGCTATCCCACCTAGACCTCCTAGCGCCCATCTCCCTCTAGACACCCCAAGCTTGGTCAGCCAATAAAAAGCATGAAGCAGCAGTAATTTGTGTGGCTCTGTTTGTCTGTGGAGGGTGGGGTCACCCCATTGTGTGGCACCTGTAGCATGGAAGGAGCCCATACAAGTTTCTAGCAAACCTGAAATTGAAGTTTATGGGATGCAGAAAAAGGGAAAGTCCCTGTGGGAGGATTGTAGGACCATTGCCAGAGTATACAGGGATACATCACAGAAGGCCAAAGCGCACTTGAAATAGAGTCTGGCAAAGGATATCAAGGACAAGAAGGGCTTCAGCAGGTACATCGGCAGCAAAAGTTGACTATGAGCTGGCAGTGTGTCCTTGGGGACAGGAGGGCCAATGGTGTCCTGGGGTGCATTGGGAAGTGTGTGACCAGCAGTTCAAGGGAGATGATCCTGCCCCTCTGTTTGGACAGTGAAGCCACATCTGCAGTACTTTGGTTCCAGTTCTGGGCTCCTCAGCACAAGAAAGACATGGAATTACTGGAGAGGGTCCAGTGGAGGCCACAAAGATGATTTGGGGTCTGAAGCATTTCTCCAGGAAAAGAGACTGAGTGAGCTGGGCCTCAGTCTAGAGGAGAGAAGACTGAGAGGGGATCTCATTAATGCATCTCAAAAGTGGGTGCCAAAAGGATGGTGCCAGGATTTTCAGCCCAGAAAGAGGACAAGAAGCAAAACACAAAAAGTTCCACCTCAACATGAGGAAGAACTTCTTTACATTGAGGGTGGCAGAGCACAGGAACAGGCTGCCAGGGAGGTAGTGAAGTCTCCCTGTCTGCAGATATTCAAAACCCAACTGGAGATGTTCCTGTATAAATTTTCTRGGTGACTCTGCCTTGGCAGGGCGGTCGGACTGGATGATCTTCAGAGGTTCCTTCCAATCTTAGAAATTTTGTGACAATCGCCAAGCTGYGTGAACCTGGTGCGCCCCACAGGATGTTGTGCCCAGCCCCACAGGGCAATATGATTTCACCCTTGGGGTGTACCTTGACCTCAAACTGCCTCACAATGTATCTCAACCTRCCCCACACCAATCCATATCTGTGTGCTGGAATAGACGTGCCTGGGGGTACATAAGGGGCTGGGGAGGGAGGGCCCCAGGAGGGGGGGGCAGCATCTGGTACCTCCACATGTGGCACAGAGCCTGKGTGAGCCCTTCAGGGACCTTCTGGYTCCTGAGCTTACAGCTTCTGCTGCTTCTGGCCTCAGTGATCCCCTGACCACCAGCCACTCTGTCCTACCACCTGCCATGTTCTGTTTCCCCACATGTCCCACTGTCCTTCTGTCCAAAATGCTTTCATCTGTCTGGCCTCTCCATCGATTGTTCTACCACCCCGTGGCCCAACAGCTCTGCCTCCTCCATCTTTCCATCCTGCACTTCTCACTGTCCCTCCATTTCCTCCACAACCCATGATCCCACCTTATCCCACCATTCCTACGTTGTCTACCACWMCATTTCTTCAACATACCTAYACATCCCACAATCTCCACGYCCCACTATTCATCCATCCTCTCCAMACCCCAACATCTTCATGACTCATCATCCCCCCATCCCACCACTGCTATGTCCCTCCATCTCCTCTATGTCCCTCTATATTTTCCACACTCCATCACCCCATCATTTTTCTTCATGTCTCTCCATCCCCCCACATTCTCCCAGTCCCACCATCCCACTGTATCACATCATCCAGACCCCAGACACGGAAAGATGAAGAAGCAGCAAGGACGAATAAAATGCTCGGCTAACTCCAGCAATACAAAGAAAATCTCAGAAGAGGCTATTTCAAGGACCCAAAAGGGTACCTGCAGGCTTTCAGTACACGGACCGGCCAGAAGGCAAAGATTAAACAGCACAGAATAGTAAATGTCATGGAATAAAGGGTGGATTTTGTTCTGTTTCCAGCTGGGATGGAGTTTCCCGGCAGCGGCAAGGTCGAGGCGGGCGCCCACAGCAGGAGCGCGTCCTCCCCTCTTGGGGCGGGAGCCGGGCGCCCGCCGGGAGCAGCTGGAGGCAGCGGGAACACCGGGAACAGCGGGAGCCGGCGGGAACACCGGGAACGGCGGGAGCCGCCGGGAGCAGCGGGAACGGCGGGAAGAGCGGGAAGAGCGGGAGCCGCCCCCACTGCGCCCCGCGCCTCAGCTGCTGCCGACGGTGGCGGGCATACCCCGAGCTCCAGGCCCGCAGAAAAAGGAAAGAAGAGGAGGGAGGCACCGTGGGCCGGGCTGTCCCGCTCAGCCCCGGCGGGGTCCGGATCGCCATCGGGCCCCGTCCCGCCTGCTTCCCGGCGCTGCGGGTCACCGCTCGGGGAATCGCCCTTCAGTGTCTGAGCCGCGGCATCACCATCGGGAGAGCGCCGGGGGACGGACACGACCGGGAGGAGGCAGCGAGCTCCGGCTGTCCCACTCCTGAGCCCGGAGAGAGGCGGAGCTTTGGGTTGTTTGCTTGGGGTTGAGTTTGGGCACAGCTTGTGTGTGTGTGTGTGCCGGGAGCTCCTCCTAGAGTGGTGCCCTCACACCGACGGCACGGCATCAGCTGCAGCTGCAGTCGCTTCGGTAAGTGCCTGTGCATCTTCTATGGCACAGTGCCTTGTACTGGCTTTTTCTTATTTATCTGCCGCCCATTTTCCCATTTCGAAGGATTTGTTTATATTTTCTTTTGCTCACTAGAAGCTGGGAAAGTAATGTATGGAGAGGTAGGGGGTAGGATGTTTTTTACTGATTTTTTTATTTGGGTATTGGGTTCGGTTGTTTTACAAATAAAGACCTGCCAATTGACAGCTACTGTCTTTGTGTGTACGAAGGAAAGGAGACCAAAAGCTGAARTGTTTCCTGCTGTCTCCCGTGCCTYTCACTGCTTTTGGTGTCCTTGGAAATAGTTTTCTGAATGAAGAGGCACAATCCTCTGTATTGGAAYACTTTAGAAGAAAACTTGAATGCTGTTTCAAAACTGAAAGTGCTTTGCATCTGATTCTCTACAAATTGCTTGTGCTATATCCCCCAGAATGAGCGAGCCTGGTCTTTTGCCTCCAAGGTGAAATGTATTGCCTCATTCATGTTTCAGGTAATCTCAATTTTTTAAGTTGCCTGAAAAAGGGATGCTAGCAGTTAACTTTTACCATAAATATTTTATTTTCCATTATTGCAGGACAGCAATATCCCAAGCCAGTGAGAGAACCAGAGGAGAGCTCACTTCTCCCAATATCCCATATTCTGGGTCTCAGTGACCTTTCAAAAGCTCCCCATGAAGTGCCACTATCTGGGTGCCTCAGGATGTGGATCCAAGAGACTCATGCAGTGTGAGGCTGGCAAAGCAAGGAGGCCAATCTGGTAAGCATCTGTCTTGCTTCTTKGTTTTTCCTTTGTTTTCTTTGGCTTTGCTTGAGTGTRGTGTAAAGTGCTYRTAGATGCTACAGAAGAATGCTCTGSACCTTTGAAATTAACCCATGTAAAAAATGAGGAAATGAAAATGTGATGTAAGAGGTCACCTGCTAAAGACATCCTTGCAGTCCCTTGTGTGTAGGTACCCTTCAGCAAAACGTGTGGTCTTGCCCTGTGTTGGATCCAAGTGGCTGATGACCATCTAGGTGCGTTTGAGTGAGGTCTCTACTGTTTATGCCTGGGCTATTTAAGTAGTGGTCTGGTGAAAATAGTTCCACAAAATCATCACAAAACTTGATAGAGGTTTATAAATTATTACTTTGTGATGTGATGACTTTATTATAGTGCTGCACATACTCTATTCTCCTACCAGGGAGATATGTGGGTTTGTTATTTCCTTTATCAAAGAAAACTTCAGGAAGTTGAGCAGATGGTTTGTGTGCACACTTAGAGCAGAGTGACAAATCCAGAAATACGAATTAAGCGGGCAGTAGAACATGTCAAAGCATTTAGAGCAAGACAAGCAAGGTACAAGTGGAACACAACACTGCAGGGTTCTGACTCCCTGTTTTATCAAGGGAGGCAAGTGCTTTTTGRTGAAGAAATCAAGGATTTCTTCCTGATAAAACAGCAATCTGAAAACAAAGGCARTACTTTTGCAACTAAGTAAGAAGTCAGAAAAGTACTGGCTTTTGTCTTTTTCTCTGCAGACCTACTGAAGCACTGCACTCCTGTGGTGATGAAGTCCCCTCCAGCAGCCTGTGCTGCCCCTGTCTGGTTCTCACACTGCCAATCCACAGCGATGGAGGAGCCTTGGTGAGACTGCTGAGGCCCAGCACATCTTGGCCTCCGCTTCACCTATTAGCATTTCAGAATGCTTCCATACTAAAGTGCAGGATTTGTATACCTTGTGCAAATGAGTGTTGAATCTTTGCCTGCAGGAACTRTGTTTCCTCTCAGCCAGATGATATGATTCACAGAGTTTAAGGCTGATGGCCATCATGGTAGCAGTTACAAGGAAAGAAGAGGGCCTTTTGGTTTTGCTCTGAAAAGTGTTTGGCAGCAGGATGCTGAAGACAAAATGCAGAGAAAAAGAAGGTAAAATAGAGAGGCACCCTGTGACAATGCTTCATTTGCAGAACTTGTGAACACAGCACTATTTCTAACAGAAAGGAAGCTATAATCCACATGGGTTTCTGTATTCCAGAAGCAATTTTTATATTACAGTTAGAGGACAAGAAGAAAGCTGTGTTTCTTTTAAATGCTGCAAATGTAGGAACCAGAAACACAGTTTCCCATCACATTATATAGTACATATACTTTGGTGTGAATAAAAAGCAGTAGTTAGTTTCTATCTTCTTATGCTTTATTTCCCCTACAATTTATTCTTGGTGAAGAGACTTCTTGTTTAGTAATCTTGGGTGAGGGAGAAAGGAGAAGGAGATGAGAACAGAAGACTGTTCTGAAAAAGGAGTTTCATTTGGTTAAAAATGCAACGGACTTCCCCAAGGTACTGCACTGGCTGTCTTTGAATGAAAGATGTATCCAAGAAAAAGTGAGTGTAGTGCAAGCTATGCCCAAACAAACCTTTCTGTGCTGATATTGGTGTTTTGTCTTGGAAACCTCTCTGCTATCCTCTGTCTTGCATCCTCCCTGCCCCTGCCCAATTTAGATGCTGAAGCCTTATGTTTTTTAAGTATCCTCTGTAATCTCAGTTGCCACACTTACCATAAGCCTTTGGGTTATACCTGGAAAGTCATTTGATGTGCTTGAGCACCAATACCTCCCTTCTTGAACAGAAGGGCAGATGTTGGACTTTGTAGTAAAAAAAGTCCTCAGCCTTTGCTGATTTGAGTAACTAGTGGAAATTCACAATGATATCTTGTGTAAATAGGGAGCATCTCAGTACTAAATAGGCCCTGGAATATTTATTTAATCTGTGGCAACAGGCAAACAACAGCTTGTTTAAACTGTTATTTGCCTGATACTTGTAGGTGAAGGGTTTTTTTTCAATCATAGATTTAAAACACTGAAAATAAAAACTTGACTTGCTGCAGTGCCTCTTAAAGGAACTGAGCTAGGACAGAGAGSAAGTGCTCTTTCTTGCTCCCTTAAAAACCAATTTCTGTTCAGTGCTCTAAGATTCTAACTTAACTTTTATAACAGCAAGAGTAATTCAAGTCCATGTGCTGACCTGTAAAGTAACACTGAGGTCCATTTCAGCTTTGGTGGAGTTTGATAGAGACCCAGTTTCATTCAGTCATGTGTCTGAAAATTTCCATGTGCTTTATTTATCACTAAATGCAAAGTGAATATATGTTATTTATTCAGCTCAGATTCTGAATATGCTGAGGCCCTCATGTATAATTTACACTATTCTCCTGGAAGCTGAAGTTTAGTATTGTCTAAGGTTCTAAATCTAAAAAAATGGTTTTCTTTAAGATTAGGTGCCTGAGAAGGCTGATTCTGTGTCACTGCATTTACCTCTACTTTCACACCACCATCTCTCATTTGGCTGTGCTTCACAGTATCTTTTTTGCACCCTGAAAATTGTACTGTGTTGTACCCTGAAAAATCATGCATCTTGAAATGTCACATGGTGCTTCTTTCACAACTATTTATTGTATATCCTCTTTGGGAGGTTTCTATCCCATGCTCTGAATACCTTCCCAAAGAGTCTTCCTACCTAGACAATGGAACTAGCTCTACCAAAGAGTCTCAATTTTAGATTTTTCACCATACATCTTGTATATTCAGAGGAAGGAGATGTATTCCAAAMCTCTACAGGCAAATTTCTAAGGAATAGTCAATTAATGTATTTGACCGTATGATAATACTGCAGCAGCAAATCACCTCAAGAATTTGTGTTAGTATGAGACTGAATGTATTGAAAATATTTCACAGTACAGTCTGACTAAGCACTTATTCAGAAGAGAGATGGATGATGCAATTGTGGAGCTAAATCCCAAAGGGTGCCATTAGGAACAAGTGCAAAACCTCCAAGGGTACCTCTCCTGCTCAGTTTGGAAAACATTGCTCCCAAGTGAGCCCTTGCTCTGGAGTTATAAGGTTTATGCTGCATTGTTCGAACATATTAAAATCTGCACCAAGCTCAACCTCAAATCTCAACCTCGTGGTTGTTGCTGTGTAGAGGAGGACTGGAGATTCCTCCTGGAGCACTGAATCCAGCTCTGAGGGCCCCAGCACAGCAAGGACATGGACCTGTTAGAGCAGTCCAGAGGAGGTCACCAWGCTGATTTTAGGGATAGAGCATCTATTGTGTGAGGAAGGGTTGAGAGAATTTGGATTGTTCAGCCTGGAGAAGAGAAGGCTTTCGACCTTCCAACACCTGAAGGGAGACTGCAAGAAAGAGGGAGAGAGCCTTTTTACAAGAGCATGTAGTGAAAGGGCAAGAGGGAATAGATTCAAACTGAAAGAGAGTAGGGTTAGGTTCAGTATTAGGAAAAAATTCTTTACCGTAAAGGTGATCAGATACTAGAACTGGTTGCCCAGAGAAGTTATGGATATCACATCCTTGGAAGTGTTCAAGATCAGGCTGGACTGGGCTTTGAGAAACCTGGTCTCGTGAGAGATGTCCCTGCCATGGCAGAGGGTTTACTGCTAGATGATCTTTAAGCACCTTTTCAACCCAAAACATTCTATGATTCTGTGATCCTTTTGCTTGTGCATCGTGTGGCTGAGACCTTAAGAAAGAGGGAGGCCTTGTATGGGTGAGAGGTCAGTTGGAGGTGTCATCAGGGTTTGCATCAGCATCAGGCAACCTCCATGCAGCASCACTAAGATCTCCTTCATCTCCAAAGTCCTTTCTTTCAGGCACTTGCCTGAAATGTCTGTGTATATTTTCATATGTACTTAGGTATATATGTGCTGTAGCAAAAGGATTGCTCATCTGAGGTCAGGATTTGACCTCAGAGAGAGATTTGACATGTAATCTAGAGTTTTGTCCTTGATCACACAGGAGCCAGGATTTCATGTGGAGGCTTTTATCTTTCTGTGCTGGCTGCAGATACCCATTGTTCTTCATATACCATCCAGCCACAATACATATACTATTTCATGTTTCTTGAACTCAAGGCTAATAAATGTGTATTTGTAATAAACACAGTAATTTTTAGAGTATGTTGTTGCCCTTTTTTCACAAAGGGAGAAAACACTTTACACCAAGAACCTGCCCTGTATAGTTTGTTTTATCTGGGAAAACTGATGGCTGCAAAACAGAGGCTTGTTAAAGGGAAAAAGCCCCCTCAGTTGTAACCATTGGGAGTGTAGTRGCACAAGGGTTTGCTTTTAATGCCGAATTTGCCCAGCAAAGTAATAAAAAGCACCTGAAAGGATTACAGTGCTCCCAAAGCCAAATTCTGATCTGTTCCCTTGCCACTTTTGTCATAGTTTACCTGAACAGTAGAGAGTGTTTTGATCCCTGCAGTTTATGCTAGCCTCTCATTTAATGCCAAGAAAGACAACTTTTAAAACAATGCACTTGCKCGCAGCCTTCAAAACTTTTCTCTTTGCCTTTCCCCTTTTTTGTCTTGACTTTATTTTGGACAGTCTGACCCTTTCTCTGTTTCTGGTCAAAATCTCTAGCTTCTGCTGTYCCCATGCCCTTTAATTAACTCTTTAATTACTAGACCTCCTTTCTGGTGCTTCCTTTTGCTGCCAAGGACAAAGTCTCATCTCTTTCCATTGGCTGTGTGTCTTGACTATCAAACTGAGTTGTGTTTCTGTGTTGCCYTGGGTGCCATCCTGCCTTCAGCATGTGACAAATGTTACCTGAGGTTGTTTTTGTCAGTTGAACCTGTAGGTAGTTGTGTCCTGGATCTGAAACTTCCACTGCATGTCAGGTCTGAAGTGGTCCATTCTAAGTGAWAGATGGAAAACAGCGCTATCATTTTTGCACAACAGGATGGCATTTTTGAAACATAAAGCACAAATGGGCTRCTTCAGCAAATAGTGTTAACACACTTCAATAGCAATTCCAAGCAGCAGTGGTTTTTAACCTCCAGGTTGGACAAAGACCCTCCTTTTCAGCTCACATCAGCTGACTTATGTCACTCCATGCTCTTGCTAGTATCACCTCTTGTTTTTTGACAAATGTCCCGGTGTRACTCCACTGAAGTCTGTAGGGGTTTCAGCACTGACTTCATACATGTGTTTGCATTGATGTCCTGGCTCAGAATCAGTACAACTGTCTGTCCCAGGCATCACTTTCTTCCAGAATAAAAAAAACTTAACATTCTCTGAACATTCAGATCTCCTTTTTTTTTAGCGGCTTCTTAATTAGTTCATTTATCAGATGTATTCAAATGCCACTGTACTTTTGTTTGCTCTTGCCATACTCAATGCACACAAGATCCTTGAGAAATCCATGGTGTGTTTACATTTTGGAATCTTCTCCTTATAGAGGTTTTTATGGGTGTTCTGTAGTGTCTGCAATCCAAGTATGACTGCTGTTGATGCATCTAGATTTTGCACTTAATAATTTTTTGCTCTGTTAACTGTACTGCAGTAGCTATGTCCACATAGGTGAAAAGTATTTTTATCCTTAATGTACTTCTAAGTTTACAGAGCAATACATTTCATTTCTAGTTACCCTGTCTTGATGTTTTTCTAAATAATCTGCAACTAATATCTCTTATTCCATGGCGTGCTCTCTTGTGTTGCATGTTTAAAAAAGAAAATGGTCAAATAATATGTAGGTTTTAATTAAAAGGATGTAKTATTCAAACACAAAAACTTTGTTAATAAGCTTTGAAAGTTTTGTGCTATCTTCAGGACTTCCCCCTTCTCCCCTTGATGCGATGAAGGAAGGTGTAAATAGTCTTTTAAGATGTTTTGTTTCTTTAACGTTTAATTTCTTAGCAAGTATTAGTGAAAAATATCTGGGAGTTGTTGAGGAGATTTAATTTCATGCTTTTATTTGAGAGGGACGTAAGTTGACCCTTTACTAGCTGTTGATTTTGATTAAAGTTAAAATAAAGAGCTTTGATATGTATTGCTTAACGTTTTGATTTTCCTACTTTTCCTTTCAGGGAGTGTGTGATGTCATTTCCCTGGATTTCTAGGTGTCATCTTTCAGTCTTTTAGTCAACACTGATTTTCTTTGCCTGTCATTGGAAAGGAAAGGTAATAAAAGTAAAATACATTTTTCTGTTGCAGGCTTCCTGCAATATATTTGTATTTGTTTGAACTTCAAACCTCTAATTAATGTATCACAACAGTTTCATTATTATATAAGATGTTTTATGCTTTTTCTTAAAAAAACAAAACCCAAACCTAAAAAAGAAGTAGTAATTAGACCATAAGTTAATTTCTGGTCCTCCTGACTTCAGTAAGACTGGTCTGGTTTTATATTCTGCATACACAGAAATGGACCAAGATGAGAGGTTGCAATGGATAATTTTCAATTTGAAGCTTAATTTTGGGTACAAGTGACAGTAAAGGAAATGCTTGTGTAGAGCACATTGTGGAGAGAGCGAACAGCTAAACTCATGTAGAATAACTAAGGGGCTGCTGTATCTTTTGTTATTCCTCTACAATCCATTACTGTTACTCATGGAAATAATATAAACAGAAACAGATAAGACATTGAAATTTGAACATATTTAGGCCTTTAATATCACTCTCACTTTTAAAGGCTATACTATCATATAATACAATATAATATTTTTTTCGTAACTCCTTTTTCTAACCTTTCTCTAACACAGGTAAAGCTCCCAACTGTAAGCCCTAAATATCCAAGCAGAATGCCGACTGTTTCTACAAACAAGGAATTCAGTGAAGCAAATAAGCTTTCCTTCCCACACGTGTAAGTAGTACACTTATGAAAATCATTAAACACCTAAGCCTGCAGCTATTAATGCATGCAAGTAATACTGCTCCTCGAGAAACTGCAGGAATTAGTGGCTATGTGTATGGACCTTGTGGATCTTTATTGCTCCTAAACTTCCTATCATACGTGATGCTGAAATTATTTTAAAAGCAAATAAATTAACAGTACTTTAACTCAAATAGGAAAGTTACTCAGTATAACTTTGCATTAGGAAAACTAAGCATAGAGTTGCATGTGTTCATGCAGCAGGCTTTTCTGGTATTCTAAATTGTCTGTTTTTTTTCTCAATACCAGGGAACAGGTAAAAATGAAAATCTACATTGTTCTGTGGGTATAGGATACGGACACACAAGTAGAACTGACACTTTTTCTAAGAAAGACAAACTGTAGCCTATGTAAGGTCAGACAGAGCAAAAATATTGTAATGAACACCTGGAAGAGATGTTTTAAGCAAACTCTGATGTCATGTGTGATATGATAATGTAATRTACATGTAGCCACATCATCATCTCTGTGCACAGCTGAACTGTTTCTGCATACTTTGTCTTAGAAATCGATTGCTCAGTAATCAGTAATCCCACTATGTTTTAAAACGATGTTAATGCTGCCAAATAAAGGATTAAACTGTCAAATGAATTTAAGAGAAAATTTGTGACAAAATTTCACCTTCATCCACCACAGAATGAGTACCGTYAGCCTTTTTTACTTACACATTCTTTGTGGGATTTCCCTTTTGCACATTTTGTCTCTAAGACCAGAAATGTGTAAGTATTATATGTTTAAAATTCCAGTGAAGCAGATGGCTTTTCTCACATAAATTTACACAGCACTAAGTCAGGCATAATTGTGTGCTGCTGTTTGGTTGGTTTTGGTTTTACTTCTTAGATGATTACATGTATAATATATGTTTTGTTATTTGGAAATAAATTATGAGGCTATAAATGGTTATATTTTAATTAGAAATAAATTATAAAGCTTTTTTGTGCAAAATAAWTTTTTTCCACCTAATCCCTCTTTTTGTTTACTTTTGCTTTTGTTTTCCTTCAATAGATTTGTATTTACAGGCCCATTCAGAAAAAAAGTGAAGCAGTAAATTTTAGCAAATTCATAAGCAAGGTTTCAGCAATGCACTGAATGGGACAAAAAATTGCAGAAACATCAGAAAATAGTGAGTACTCTGAAGGTAACGTTTTTGAAAGCTGTTTCTTTTAAAATGAGCTGAGCTCTCAAGGTAACAGCAGAGGGCAGCCTCAATATTTGTGTGGCTCTGGATAYGGTGAGACACATTGAATAGCCGGGCTTAGTTTACAATACCCTTTGAGCAGCCAAAGAAAGGAGTGCTCCTGTTTGCAGTCAGCAAAGGCAGGTGCTTTCATGGACCTTTTTCATCTCCACGATTGTAGTATGCTCTGTTCCAATCCAGGGGCTTCTGTGTTCTGATCCAGGGGCTTCTCTGTGATGTGTTTCCATGAAATGCTGCAGAGGCATAGCCATCCTGCCTAAATTTAAGCAGCCTGTAAAATATTCGTTGCCTCTTCATTATGAATATTCTTTTKTCCCTAATATTTTCTGRAAACTTCTGTCACAAGTGKCATTGATACTYGTGYTTAAGAAATAGATCACTGTTCATASAAATTTGYCAAAAYAAATATATGCACATAGCTGAAGAYAGTGGAATTGCAACAGTTTAAGAGAAAAAAAGTTATCCAATGTACCTATGATTTCAAACCATGCTTTGTCATGCACAATAGTAATAGCTATGAAAGACATCACTTGGAAACAAACATAAAGTTTAAAGGGCTGGAAAAATCTCCTTCTGTCAAAGACCTTTTCCTTTTTACAGTGTCTTGGTAACCATGGTGGCTGTATCAGTTTCTATAGCAATGRAAATGCTATTCGACCTCCCATTGTATGCCCCAGAATTTTTTTTTTTTAATTTGTATCAGGGAATCCTTTTGTATACACTGGAAATTGCCATGATTCCCTTGACCTTGATATATTAATGGTTGAAAGTCTTAGAGGCCAGGTATTTTATTTTCTCTAACACTTCAGCTCTTTCTGAATTCATCTTTGTGTCTTCCAATGATGTATCTACAGTAATTTTTTCTTTTTTGGTGTGCAGAACCTCTTCCTCCAGGTGAGTATCAGAAGAAAACAGAGAAATAATTGTGTGATTTTGTTTAGAAGAAAAAAGCCATAAAAATAAGGGATGAAGCCAGATCTTCATCTGGGTCTGAAAGAGAATGCATAATCTTAGAAGCCACTCTTCAAGTTAACTTAAGCATCCAATCTCTGATCATGCAGACAATGCTGCTTTGGGAAGCTCAGTGACCCAACAATTCAGCCAACCGTGGAGTCTAAAAGTGCTCTTCCTCAGCGTCGAAGAAAACCTTTAATATTCTTCTTTGTTTCCAGATTCTATTTAGCTTTCTTGTGTGTTGACATTTTTCTTTCCCATTACTATGAGTAAAATTAAAGGATTTGCGATTTCAGTATCTCAATTTAATTTATTTGGTGGTAGTTGATTTCTTTAATGTGTGTGCATCTAATGAGACGATTGAGATTGGTTCTTTATCTCAGTGTAACAGGACATTGCTTTTAATGCTCTGAAYAATATGGTTTCATCCAGATGTGTACCTTCATTCAGTTTTGACCTTGTCCTTTCCATTCTTTTAGGTGATTGCTGAAGGCAGTGCTTTTAATTTTTTCCCATTTGTGYACTTTTTTCTGTTCATTCAAAGCAACTGGCAGCATGAACACCTTGCACCTTCCTTTTGAGATGGAGCTTTCTCTGTTCTCACTTGCACAGAATAAGTCCTAGACACATCAGACAGGAGATACAACCCATTCCACATGTAAATCTATAATCCATTTGTTTTGGGATATTTGCATCATACTGCAAATTTCTTAGGTAGCTTGTCTATCTTGTTAATTCAAAATTAGAAGTACTGGAATTTATTTGCATTTTGATATGAGGGAGAAACTAAATATTTTAGGTGACCTTTTTATTCTTATGGTTGAAATAATTCTGTAAACTTTTTTTTTTTTTTTGCAGATTCAGAACCATCTGAATCACCACCTGCAAGCAATGAGTTAAAACCACCGTTTCAGGGATGTAATAAGTAACTTGAAAGACTGTTGGGGAAACTAAAGTCTCGTATTGCTTATATAGTCCAGTATTTACATGTTGGCTATATTGTTTTTGTAATTCAAYTCATCCCTCATTGAGAAGTTTGTGAGATGGATGAACTTCATTGGGCTTGATTACTGCAAATTTTAAAGAATAGGCAACAGCAGTCAGTGCCTAATCCTAGACTTTTTCTTAATATAATAAACAAAATATAGCAAAACTGAAGTTTTCTCCTGCACAAGACTTGTACTGTTTTGCTGTTCTCAGACAGGGTTACCATATTGCTGCTGACTTGACTAGACACAGGCACTCTATTGATGTGTCCAAATTAGCAAGTTTCTTAATTAAGTACAGCAGTACTCATGAGTTACCCCATAAAGAAAGGTGAAGGGGAACTGTGTGATATGGGATGGCATGTTAATAGAAAGGATTGAACTGGTATGAATACTTGCAGTAAAAAAGTCAAACCTTCACTGAAAGAAGATGCTTCTTCACCCCAAAGTCTCATTTATTTAGACCTGATATTCTGCATTCTAGGACAATTCTCTTGCTATGCCTGCTGCACAAGAACGAGTTGATCAGTCATAGTGTTCAACCACATAATTAAAGACCTGGTGGCACATCTGGTGGCATTCCGTGTTATGTTGTAGAGAAGCTAAATAGTTGATTAACACTTACATGGACTCAGCTCTCTATAATGTCTGCACTTTCAGCTGTTAAATAAAAAAAAATTATCCTGAAGACTGCAACAAAAGTATTATATGTTACATCACTGTGTTTATTCACACCAGCAGAAGTTTGTACTTTGAAATAGYAATATATAGAAGTTGTACTTTAATATTTGGAAAAAGTTAAGATACACTGATATTTTAACACTTGCTATTTTACGTACTTGGATTGGAAGATATCCCTGAAATCCTACTAAATATTCATTATAAATTCTACTAGAAAGTGGATACAATTTCATTACCATGTTTTTTGCTAATACTGTGAAAAGTGAACTGGTAATTTTTAGAATTTCCTCTTCATACTGATTGCATTCAGTACATTTTACACCTTTGAATCCAGGTCGTGAAGATTCTAAAATTTATTACTAAATACAGATTTCTTTCAATAGAATGTTTAGAGGATTTGATTTAATACAGGTCTTCTTTAGAACTTTGATGTAAAAATTCATTGGAAATAGGTAAACCTATGGCTAATCTGAAACCTCAAAATTTTGTGCAAACATTTGTGGAAATTTTGCTGTTAATGTTGTTAGACTCAGCACCTGAGTCCATCTTTGCTGCCCATTCTTTTGAACAATTCAACTGTCTAYGCTGTGCTCAAAAAAACMAAAGGSTAAAACACATGCAAATGCATAAATRYACAGTAGTTGGCTAGTGAGCAAATTTTTCTAAATATAAGAAAGCTTACATCAAGCTCTAACTGTAGGGGTRTGTGGGATTACTTACCTTGTATCTRTTTTCACTTAAAATTTGTAAATTTGTTTTGTGGATTATGTCCAGATACATTGAAACCATTAATTTTGCTGTGAAGGCAGAGCTTTTGGGGAAATCCAGTTTTCTAGTCTAGCATATCAAGGGAGGCCAGGGTTGGAGCTCATGGCATTAAAACCTGACCTGTTGTGGTGAGCTGACCTTAGCTGGACACCATGTACCTGCTAAGCCTCTATCACTCCCCCACCTAGCAGGACAGGGGAGAGAAAATACGATAGAAAACAACTCGTAGGAGTGACTCCAGAGAAGGGCAACAGAACTGAGAAAGGTTCTAGAGTCAATCCTATGAGGACCGGCTAAGGGAGCTGGGTTTGTTTAGCCTGGAGAAAAGGAGGCTCAGGGGTGACCTTACCACTCTTTACAACTGCCTGACAGGAGTTTGTAGCCAAGTGCAGGTTGGTCTTTTCTCCCAGGCAACCAGCGACAGGATGAAAGGAAACAGCCTCAGGCTGTGCCAGGGCAGATTCAGGTTGGACGTTAGGAAGAATTTCTTCCTGTATTTTTTTTCTGAAAGGGCGGTTAAGCATTGGAATGGGCTGCCCAGGGAAGTGGAGCCATTGTCCTTGGAAKTGTACAAGAAACAACTGTACATGACAATGCTATGGTTTAGCTGACACGGTGGTGTTCACTTGAAGGTTGGACTTGATGATCTTGGTKGTCTTTTCCAACCTAAATGATTGCCATTAATTATGGCAATGATTGCCTTCCTTAGTCAAGCCAAGGAGATGTTTTATCTGCATTGTTGGTCAACTGAGTCTGAATGGATCAGAGTGTGAATACCATGACTTAAAATATTAACAGCCTGAGGTTTCTCTTCACAAGAGCAATGGGGCAATCCTGGCATCTGTGTTTGTGCATTTAAAATAACAGAGATCTGCAGCAGACACATAACTTGCCTGGGACAAGGARTCAAAGTGGTGTAACAAATCACAAAGCTCCAGCTGAACCCAAGGATGGAAGTGTGCTGCTTGAATTCACCTTATCCCAGTAATCGTGTTGTTCTGTTTACTTTTGAGTTACTGCAGTCATGCAGCTGGCAGTTTTCAAAGTCATCAGCAGTTCCATGTAAAAGCAGTGGAAGCTTCTGGTTTTCCATTTCTGTTTTTCAGAGAAATGCCAAAGTCAAAAGCTGGGTGCTTATTACAAAATCTAGCCTTATTGTTTTAAATGCTGAAACATTTGTTTCATTGTCTTGGGCTCTATTTCTGTCCTGAATGCCTTTAAGTAGTGAGATGATTATTTCTTTTTTGAATACTGATTGCTTTGCAAGCCCAAAGATAAAGCAAAAGTGCAGTTACATTCTGTGAATWGCATCCAAGTACACTGAGTATGTGAATGTTTTTAAAAGAATTCCAGATAAAGACTGAACAATAACTTAGCAGTTTMGTGACCAAAGAGTAATTTTCCTTTTATAAACAACCATTTCACTGTAGTGAAGTGTAATGACTGTTTTAATTTTAACGTGTCCTGATATATACCTAATATATATCTAATATATAATTCTAACCACTTCTGTCTTTTTGGACTAGACTAAAATATAAACAYGTTTTCAGAGATCATGTGTATGTATGCATTAACTTTCTTTGCATAGCAATGCAAACAAAAATTCAATTGACCTGTGTGCTTCTCAAGCATCTAAAATTCCATTGATTTCAGCAGATCTATTTCTTAAATACTTGTATCTGTGCTGAATACGCAGGCTGAGTTGTAAAAGATGTGGGAAAAAGTCCAATTTCTTTCTGTCAATAAACAGCTTAATATTCTGCTTTTGCTGTTTTCTGCAGATAACTTTTCAGAATGTAGTTACATATTCTATAATCTGGGAGAAAAAGCTGGAAATAGAAACATACAAGTTCAGTCTTGGCACATTTTGTCTTCTATTAATATTTTTAATGATACAAACTATTCAGAATAACTGAAGAATCAAAATGCAGTGGATAAAACAGCTGCACTGAATTATTTKACCAATTGATTATAAAAATGGTTTATGTTGAGCAGAAGAGAGAATAAGTTTGATTATGAAAGGACAGCCAGCCTTATTTTCCATGGATCAAATTTTCATCCATGCAATATAAAAACCTGAAAAGTRAAGCCAGTTGCACACTGTTGTTATAACCCCAATATGTAGCTGTGTATTTTTCACCCTTCTAAAATAACATTAGTATTCTTTCCTCTGAAATGCAAAATGTAATGAAAACACAAACACTACAAAACCAGGAAGCTAAAAGGGCATTTAAGGTTTTCTAGTGATAACTGAGAGCAAAGGTTACTACCAATTATTAGACTCATAGAAATGCATAATTAATTGAACCATTTCAGCCAAAGTAACTATAGTAACCTTATTACTTACAAAAAAAACAAAACAAAACAAAAAAAAAACCAAAAAAAAACCCAATAAAAACCAATTTATATTGATTAGTCTCTTAATSTACAGCTAGACAGAAAACCTCCTGAAAGCTAAAGCAGACTTTTCAGTGGACCCTGAGATGAAGGGCTAGGTAATACTCCTGTTTAAAGGAAAACTTTCTTCCACAGAATTAATCACTCTTCTAAGGTGCTTGTCCGCTACTATAGCTTGGAAGTCTTGACAAATATTTAAGGAACAGGAAAATGGATTAGAAGGCTGTCCTTCTGTTTCACCCTCTGGAAATATAAACAGRATGAACAGGTGATGTTTTTCTGATTTTGTTGAGCAATTCCTCTTGCATATCGTTCGTGCCTAGAAATGCATCTGTGCAAGGGATTTCTCTCATATTCCCATACGAAGTCCTTTGGTGTRAGACAGGATATAAACAGATTTCACTCTAAGTGCCGAATACGTGATTTTGTAATAAATGCATCTCAGCAATGCCTTGTGCCCAGTGTGTTTACCGTCCTGAGGCACAGAAAGTTCTCTACCAAGATTTTAGTCGCTCTGTCTCCCAAGTATTCCTTACTAGGACAAGCTACAATGTGCTTCTGGTGCRAAAAATTATTTTTATAATTGTAAAATCCAGGACCGCGGGCTTGGCCTCTTCAGTTACCGTATGAACAACGCCAGTTTAAGAAGCTCTCTCTGTTCTTTCCTCGCACCGTGTTTGCCGTGCTCACGGCAGCGGGCACACGGTGTGTGCGCCCCGACGCACTCAAGGGCAGACACGTGCAGAGAAACTCGCACAGCCCGACTCCGCTCCGCCATCCTCGGCGTGTATCTGTATCTCTGTGATAAGGCTCCTCACCAGCAGCGACATRGGCAGCGCTGGCACAGCCGCGCCCTGTGCCCGCCCCGGAACCGGCGCTGCCCTCAGCTCCCGGCGCGCAGGGGTTAAGCGGGCCCGGGGCGGGGCGGTGCCGCCGCTGGCGGGCTGTGCTCGGCCGGGCTCTCCAACAGCGAGCGGCTTTCCTCGTTTCCCGGCGGCGGATCCCGCTGCTCCCGGTGAGAGCYGCGTCCAGCCGGTCGCTGCCGTGCTGGTGGTGGGGTGTCCGCCGTGTGTCCCGGTCGCCGGGACCCCTGCGAGGGGTGGCGGGGAAAGGGGGCGGCGGGCGAGGGCGGCGGTGCGGGGCCGCTCGCTCTGTCTGCGGGGCCGGGGGAGCTCTCAGGCAGCATCGCGGAGATGAGACCGGCAGGGTAAAATCAGTTTTGCAGCGACTTCAGCTTTCCGTGATGATGGATGAACCCCGGCCAAGAGYTTTTCCCTGCAGAAGGCATTGACTGTGGGCTTCCTTCAAAAATGCCGGCTGGCGGGGAGAAGTGAGAGTTGGCAATTATAGTGGATTCTGCATGGTTTTAAAGTATGAGTCTGAGGATTTAGAGGTTTAGATGAGATACTAGGGAGGAATCCTTCTCTATAAGGATGGTAAGACACAGGTTGCCCAGAGAAGTTGTGGATGCCCCATCCCTGGCAGTGTTGAAGGACAGGCTAGATGGAGCTCTCAGCAGTTTGGTCTAGTGGAAAGTGTTCCTGCCCATGGCAAAGGGATTGGAACTATGTGATCTTTAGGGTCCCTTCCAACCCAAACCATTCTATGATAGGCAAAAATATTAAAGCAGGCTCTGCCCTTTCTTGATCTCCCATTTCTTGATCTGTCTACTTCCAGGAGCACATTATTGTTGAACGTCAGTTTTATCTTCGGCTGAGGAAGTCTGCAGAAACTTTTGATGTGTCTATAAAAATTTCCATTTGCTTAGAGAGCGTGAGAGTTTTGTGGCTTTACATTAACTGGTTGCTTGTCACCTACTGCCTGATTGCTGTCAGGGTCTGCCATGGGAAAGCTGCTTTACGCTTGCTCCTTCCTTYGGTTCCTGCCAAGACACCTCCAGCTGGGTGCTCTTGGAGGGGRTATGCTGGACCTTTGGACTACCAGAACTTTGTTCCCAGTTTTTTGAAGTATATCATCTGTGATTACTTAGGGCATCACTGAACCRAGAACACTTAAAAGATCACGTGGATGCTTAATACTGTGAACAATTGCTGAATGAATGTCCTTGGTTTATTTGCAGCCATTTTTCTTCTTTTTTTACATAAAAATCACTTTGCTGTTTCTGCTTCTTAACTTCCAGCTCTTTTTTATGAGGRTTCATGGTGCTGTAGGAAGAAATGATTAATTTTTCATTTAATGTACGTGGTGTAATGGTGATACCCAATAGTAGCTGACTGTACTGCATATCACCATAAGGAAGTGTAGTTGATTATAAAAATAGCTTTTATATTTCATCTCCTTGAGCRTAGATGGTTATATACATTTAGTAAATCTAGTGCGTGTGAAGTTTGAGTATTTAATAAAGGTTAATGTTCGTTAAATGAAGAAAACTAATAGTCCTTATAAATYGTAATACATTTCCATTATTCCGTGGCTTTTAACAGGCAGGCCTCTTGTTTGTTTTSTTAGGTTCTTCACTTCTTTAAAAATTCACATATGATGTAATTCTGTTGCAAGACCGATTTCTTTCTGTTTCCTTGTAGTGTAATCCTGGGGTTTTTAAGGATTACAGTCCCATCTCTTATAAGCTCTGTGCTGTCAGGCTCTTCTTAAGGGAGGGTAGAACAAAACCTTGTGATTCAATATTCCCATAAGAGCATTCCCAGAAAGTACCAACTTCGGCACGTAGCCTTAGTCACTTCTGAAAATAATAAATTAATCATTCTATAATTATGATTCCGCCCTTGGATCAGCACGAAAGTGACACATTTGCCTATTTAAATGTAAAGAATGCAGAAAGGATAAGGTTTTGGTTATAGGATTAAGTTTTTGGTTAATGGATCAGGAAAAACGGTATTCAGGTTGGAGGGCAAATTGGAAACCTGTGGCTTTTTGGAGTCATGTTTAAGTTTTGTGTTCYTTGCTTTATGCTGTGCCAGAAAGAAGTGCTCTTAAGGTCAGTAGGAGGAGTTTAATGAGGAGGATATTATGAGTAAGATGCTTCCTGGACTCGGGTTTCAGGTGTCTGACAGCTAGAACTGAGCTTTGGAGACCTGGAGCCAGAGGTGGAAAGAGGCTGAAGCTGGATCAGCATTGTTGGTGTGAGAGGTATGGAAAAAAGAGGATGAGGTAGTGGTGAGGTGGGGATTGCAAGGGATTAATTTAGGCTTAAGGGGTTTGAAAGTAGTGAATCTCAGCCATAAAAACTGTAGATGCTCATTTTGCTCCAGTTATGAAAGCTGTAATGTGGCTGGAATTTTTGAGAAATTTAATATTCATGGTAGTTACCATCAATACAGAAGGTTTCTCTCTCTGTTAATGCTTCTAGCTTTACAGATGGGACTATTCTGATGCATTTGAATCTATTTTTTTAATATAATTCTAGGTATAAAACCTACATGGCCCCTGGTTCCTCAAATGAGAAGAAAACTGATGATGGAGAGGCTTCAAAGTAAGATTRAGAAATGAATTATTTTGTCCAAGTTAACACTTAAACTTCCTCCCCAAACTCATTACACACTAATTTAGTTTAAGATAAAGTTTATGATAGTAATGCCAAGTATCCAGTAGCAGCTCTTCTGATAAATAGATTTATTTATTGCTTTACCACACTTACCGTGACAATGAATTTATTGAAGCTAAGTGTTGTTTTTATTTATTAACTTATTTTTATCCAATGAGCAGCTAAAATGTCAACTTTGGCTGCTGCTTCAAGAGTTCAAACAAATATTTCAATATGTTTCTCTAATCCTTACTTTAAGCCTATTTTAAGCCTAATCCTACTTTAAGCCTATTTTACTAAAAAGGTACTAAAACCTGCTATGTGACTCTTTAGTCTTGAGATTTGTATTTTACTTTAACCCTCAGAAATTGTAGGTGCTTTACAACAGCTTGAGGGAAATAAGTTTTCTGCTCCTGGGCTTTGCATGCCAAAGATGTTTATCAAGGAAACTTTGCCTCTACTGTAAATCCATGGCATTGGTCCTATGTACACRTAACACTATGCTAGGTTTTATTGCCCATTTTACCCCAGGGTCCAAGTCTACGATCAGATGTGCAGGTAAGCTGTGCAAGTTGATAATGGCCCCTCACTGTGGTGAGGCAGTGGGTTGGAGAGCACTGTTGGTGGGGTGTGAGATGAAAAGGGTGGAATATAGCCTTGGAGGAAGGAGGCTGTGTTTTGGCTAGGCACGAGGACAGTGGTGTTGGCACATGCCACTTGAATTTCCTTGCACTTTTAACAGAGACCTCGCCTTTTCCTAATTTGTTTCCTGGAGAGAAGCTTTTATTGCTGGTGTTTTCATAGAGAACAAAATACATTTTTTTGCTTGCCTGAGAACACATTGTAAAATGATTTYGGATCATATCCTRTTYTGTTTGTATGTAAAAGCCATTCCARTGGGCATCAGCACYRCCWGATACTGGATCTGCATTAGTGAATGACCCAGTAAATAAATGTAGAGAGTCCCACAACACTGAACAGGAATAATTCAGGGGAGGCAGCCTGGAAATTCTGTTAAATGAGCTAGTTAACTCCTAGCTTGTCTGCACCTTTCTGACAGGCCATAAACCTGCTCTTTAGTTCTCTCAGAGTCAAACAGGTCTCTTGGAAGGAAGAACAAAGGCAGCCAAAGCCTTTGGTTCCACCTCAGGCAGGATTTGTATGAGGAGAGGCAAATGGGGCCCGTGGCAGATGGAAGGGAAGTCCTACTGAAGGGGTGAATGGACCAGCTCCTGGGGTGGGCAGCTCCTTCAGTTGCTGAAGGTGGTTGTCTGGGTGGGAGGGACAAATAGGGTGGGTTGGGATGACACCTCTTTCCTTGGTTGTGCAGCTGTTACTGGATAGGCAGTGATGTTGGAGAGAGATGTCAAGAACAGAAGCAATTGCCATACTCAGAATATTTGGGTTGAAACTATTTGCTTTCTGAGGAACAGTTCAGTGACCTCAGCGTGGGCATCTTGGCCACCACAGGCTTCCTTCCTGCACAGGAGTGACCTGGGGCCTATGGGAAAACACTGTCTTTCTGGAGAGGCATTAGGAGGCAGAGAAGATAACATAAACCATCTAAAATAGTGCCAAACACCTCTGTTTAGGCTTTAGAGTTGTTATTGAGTTCTTAATGATTTTTTGTATAAAGTCCGGGTGAGCTCTTTTGTTCRTCTCCTCTGACAAACCAGTTTGAATTTGCTGAGCCATGCTATGTGTACAGTGAGCCTTCATGAAGCTGGTAACTCTTGTGTCTGGGAGCTGTTTGCTGCTTGATTCCATCTCTCAGAAATTACTTTGAAGTACTGGCCAGTGTTCTGCTTAAGCTTGTGCTAATTGACTGGTCATTCCTACCTGTTTCAGTTGGACTAAAACATCAAGCACAGAAAGCAGACATTTTATGAATCATTCCACTTGTTTAGTTAGTCCACTATCAAATTTTCCATAAAGGTGATCCCACAGGCTAAGTAGTTCAGGTTTCCCTCCTTGCCCTGTCATTTCCTGTCTCTTCAGACAGATTAATTTTTGTTTTTCCTCTAAGATGTATCACTTCCTTAAAAGGAGTGCTTAGGAAGCAATGAGTTCTTTCAACCTCTTCAGCTCTTTTTCCTTCTTGATATTTTTTCACTTCTGTGACTTTCTCCTTCCTTCAGATTTCCTCTTTTCTATTTCATATCCTCTGTACCCTTGTTATCAGTTTCATGCCATGGGTTTTTTTTTTCCTCCTGTCTGTATGACAGAGTAAGAAAAATTGCTGGTAATCTAGTTTGTGCTTGTCTATAAAGCCCAAATCATCCCATGCTTCTTGGGTGGCTGGCAGACTTCCAGTCAAAACAGAGGTCGGGTTTGCTTTTCAGCTTTGCTATAGATGGCCTTTGTAATAATGTGGTCTATTGAATATTCCCTGGTCCTGCTTGCRTTGTTCTGCTCACCATGAAGACTCACCCTGGTTCATAGATTTTATATTGTGTAAGATAAAGGTCGCACTTGCAAATGCATCCTAACACCTGAGCTTTCTTCAGMAATTTCATTCTGTGAAATGAATGGAATGTGAAATGTCATATGTGATATTTTACAAGACATWAAGCAGTTATGAAAGGTAGCATTTCTTTAGCACAATGCCCAGAATAAGTTAGTGCAGGCATATGTATGTGTGTTATTTCCCAACKTTTGACTTCTTGACTTTGAAAAATTCTCATCTGTTCCATGTAGGGGTTTGTATCTATTCTATATGTTTCACAATGCTGCTGTCTTGGCAGAGAGAAATTTATTCACCTCTGTAACCCTCACCTGGAGAAAATGAAAGAAGACATCCTGTACCATTTTGCTCTTGGGACTGGAACCCATGATTTTCCGACATTGTTTGGGGATGTAAAGGTAAGATGCTTTGCTTCACTCAGCAAGCCTGAGCTTTTCTGTGGAAGGTGGACACACAGCTGTCTTCAGAATAAGACTAAATGTGTCAGCCTACCAGCAACTGAGGAGTRCATGCAAAGGGGGAAAAATTTTGTGGGTTCTTGTCACTTCCAGTATCCAGCCAAGCTGGGGATAAGTGTTTTTGACTGTCTCTTTTCAAACTTTTTCCCAGTTTGTGTGTGTTGGAGGAAGTCCTTCCCGAATGAAAGCTTTTATCGCCTACATCGCGGAGGAGCTGGGGCTCGGAAGCCCTGGCTGTGACTACCCCAACATCTGCGCGGGCACCGACCGCTACGCAATGTACAAAGTGGGGCCGGTTTTGTCTGTCAGTGTAAGTGCTTCCCCTGATCTGACATGGGACACAGTTCAGTTTTGATGCTGCTCAAAGTAGAAAATTTGAATGCATGTTTCTTTTAAATACTTCATAGAAAATTTGAATGCATGTTTCTTTTAAATACTTCATAGACTGAATCAGGCTGCTCAAAATAGTGCAGTGAGCTAATTAAGAATTCCTTTTCTAGCCTTTAAGAGGGAAAATCTCCAAGACCTTTGTTCTTTCTTGCATTCATTATCCTCAGTGTACCACGGAGGTGTTGCAGGAAGGCCTTATAGATTCTTTGAGCAGAGTTAACTGTTGCCTCATCGCTGTTTTGTACCCTGAATAAAGGGGGAAAAATGTCACTTGGTGCATGTAGGGTATTGGGAAAAAGGATTGTATGAGCCCCAGAGCAATGTATCCACAATGGCACTGTCAAATGTGCTTAAGAGAAACATTCCATTGGATTGCTTCTGCCAGCTCATGTATGCATTTTAAATACATTCATAGTTTTAATTTGTAGATAGAATTACATGCTTCAATAGAAATTGCAAAACTAGTAATATTTTGAAACACTGGCCAGACCCTTTCTTTTGAGCTGTAATTATCATAATATTGTGCAAGCTAAAGTGGACTTACATTTGCTGAGACTAAACCACAGTGTCTATGTTTTGAAAAAAAAAATTGGCTTAACTAYTCATTAACACTTCAGGTTGGTGAAAAATCAGAGTGAGGTTTTTCTTTGTTTAGGAAATGCTCCATGATGAAGTGCATTAGTCAGCTGTTGGGAAAGGACACTCTTTATRCCTTTGAGAAGGTAAATGTTCTGTAATTCATGGCTTAGAAATACTGTATTTTATCCACACTCTACCAAAGCCAGTGGGAGTCTATTTGTAGGCCCTTTCAGTATTTTTCTGTAGGCCCAGAGGTTGGGCATTTTGTGGGAGTGATTTAGGTGGTATTTGGGAAAACAGTATCAGGAAGGAGATAATGCCCAGCTCCTTCTTCCATATATATTCTGTGTTGTCTACGTGAATGTGGAATATGAATTTATGCTTTCTTTTCAGCATGGTATGGGCATTCCTTCTATTTCAATCATGTTGCACGAGCTGATCAAACTGTTGTATCATGCCAAGTGTTCTGACATAACCATCATTCGCATTGGCACCTCTGGTGGAATAGGTATTTCCCCTTTTGATTTCTTTCTTTCTTTCTGCAAACCAAAGTGTCCTTGCAGGAGAGTAAAGCATCTCTCTGCATGTAAGAGGTTAATGGTCAGAAGAGTTTTCCACAGGAGAKGCATCCTTTTACTTCCATAATTTTGAAACTAAAGGCAACCTCTGCTTTTGCATAGGGAAAATGTACTTAAAGATCTGACAATGTGAGAAGAAGGACATTCCTGTCCTGTATGGAAAATAAAAGAAGTGAAAAAGGAAAAATTCTGTTCTTTCAGAAATTATTTGTAATAATAAACTGAAGCAGCTAGGTGTGGACAAAAAATTTTCTTGGTGAATGTGGAGGCAAAATTGCCACCTTTAAAAGAAACAGGGTTGGGWCAAGATGTATGTTTTATGTGTTTGGAAACAAATTGTTAACTGCCTTGTTAATCAATATTTCCTTTTGCTGCAGGTCTGGAGCCAGGCTCAGTGGTTATAACTAGGCAGTCTGTAGATGCCACCTTCAAACCTCAGTTGGAACAGGTTGTTCTRGGAAAGACAGTGATTCGCAGCACTAACCTGGATGAACAGCTGGCTAAAGAACTGATGCAGTGCAGTAAAGAGATTGGTCGGTTCAATACAGTCATTGGAAACACCATGTGCACTTTGGATTTCTATGAAGGTAAGGCTGGTGCCARACCAGCAGAAGAGTATTGCTAAGCAGTAATAGATAAATATGGAATAATGCATAAACATTAATCTTCAAGTTCGCTAACAGAATGCATTCCCCATTCTGGCTTGCCTTGCCAATCACAACCTATTTTTCATCTACATAAAATYAAACATTTTATTTAGCAGTTTATGCATTAAACTTTTAATTCTGTGGCGRTTTCTCCCCAACTTTAATAGGTCCTCCGCAGTACATACAGTCTTCTATACACTTCTCATGTATTTGTCAGGTATATTTGTCACAAAATTTATGTGATTTACTAAAACATCCTAGGAAATTAGAGGAGTGAAATTTGTGACTGGTTTAGGGTTGGTTTTCTTTGCACTGGTGAAGTACCTAARGTCAGTATTTTCTGAAAGAACGGCTGGAACTTCTTTCATTTTGAGCAAAGCAGTGATCAGACAACTGAAGATATTTTGCTGAGTTGTGTCAGTGCTGCTATGTAGGAGGCACAAATCTGCAAGGCTTATTTTGGGTAAACATACAGACATTCAGGTGCTTTTCTGATCTCCTAAGTCTAGGTGTTCATTCAGAAACATTTTTCAACCCTTGTGAGAATGGAGTATAAGTGGCACCTGGTCCCACTTCGTTGCTGACTAGGTGACAAAGGGTACAACACAGGCAGGAACAAATGGCCTTCATCGCAATGCTCTGGTTTGGGCAGAAGCACACACTGTCAGTTCATGTATCAGGCACCAACCACAGGTGCAAGCAACAAAAAAGAAGTGAGGGATGTTTTCAAGTTACATACCAAGAGCTGAGAATAGGATCAAAGGTAATAATTTAGGAGTACATCTCCCAAACTGAAGAAGGTACTGATTAAAATACAGTGTAATTTAACTTTACTGTAATAACCTGCTGCTGTCTTGTTTTTACATATTATTCTTGACTAATTTGAATAAAAAATTTCTCAAAAATTTACCGTAATAGCTAGTTAGCTTAAGAGACTCTTCATCTCTTTAGAAAGTCTGCAAGTAATGAAATGTTCATCCTTTTAGGGTAGAAACAGGAAAGCATTTTCAAACCTGGTAGTTTTTTTAGACAGTGATTGAACATTTAAAAATACAGCACTTCCATACAACTTAAAGTTTCTTGTGGAATTTTGATGCTTGATGTATAYGTGGGATTCTACTACATACATTTTTCTGTTTATGAATCTGAGAATTGAAGCTGGAGAAGATCAATTAAATTACCATGATTCTCATTATCAAAAATCATGTAATATGTAGAAGCTCTAGCAACAGCTAAGAATCCCTTTATCCTATTTGCCTTGTGCACAAAAGTAAGGAGTAGCAGTAAAAGCTGAACATTGTATGGAGGAAACTGTAAYAACTGGATGTTTTCAAAACTGAATTTTCTCTGTGACTTCATCACTCTGAAATCTTGCACAAAATTACTTTCTAGGACAGGGCAGGTTGGATGGTGCAATCTGCTTATATAATGAAGAAGAAAAACTGCAATATTTGAAGAATGCTTATGATTCTGGTGTCAGAAACATTGAGATGGAGTCTTCTGTATTTGCTGCAATGTGTAATCTCAGCGGTGTCAAAGGTAAACTAACTTAGTCACTTTATCAAACCTATAGGAAATTTTCTGCATTGAAGGAGTTTCTGCCTATATATATATATATATATATATATAAATAAATATTTCTGCTTATAATTTTATTGCTATAATTGTCTGATTTTTGTCAGTTGTGTCACAAGTTACCAAACTTCCTCACACAACTTTTACAGTTTACTGCTGTCATTTGCTATTCCAGCCTGTGGCAACCATGTAAATCATTAAAGTACCTAATTACCGTATGGCATTAATTAGTTTTCTCCAGCTGGCTTTTGAAGCTTACAAAAAACAACTGCTTAGTTTGAGCAATCAGGTGATTCTCTCACCTGATTTTTTTAATATTTATATGCATATATAAATATTAAAAAAACTATACTCACTTTCTGTACTTTCATATCAAATGGAAAATATAATTATTTTCTGTAGACTTAAGACTTTGATTCTTAAAAAATTGAGGATTTTTACTAGCATCATGAATAAACCTTTCCAAATCATAAAATGACTTAAATTTTTTTGCTCAGGATGAGTAACAGAGAACAATTACAAATAATATAATACAGAGTCTTTCTTCTTACYATAGTGACTGTCTTCTCTCACTTTCCTTAGCAAGAAATATGCCAATTTAAAACAGTGATGTTTCTCRAACTCCCTTTAAGCTCGAGGACAAAATGAAAAAAATATAAGCTAAAAGGCCAATAGTTTTGTCAAACATCCTCAGTTCTTACTGTCTTGAAAGGGATTAAAAACCCAACCTGTCCTCCCCAATCCAGTACTGTCCCTGAGCAATTCAGGAGGCCTTTTGCTGTCTCTGCTTTGTAGGTCTGTAATGTGTATTTACTCCTTGTGCTCTGYGAATAGCCACTGGCAGAAACTCCAGACAGAGCAGAGTTACAGGGTTGAGTGATAGAGCTCAGCTTGAGTGAAAGGAGGGACTTTGCCTTTGGGGCTCTGGTTACTGAAAGGCAGCAGAAGAACCTGARATGGTCCATGGGTCCTCTTGCACTTGCAGTGTTCCCTGTCCATAAATGTGGAGGCATCTTATCTGCTGCTTCCTGGGGGGTGGCACCTACAGCCCAGGCACTCAGTGGAGGACTGTAACTACCTCTGCTCRGGCAGCATCTCAGGTCACTTCCTACCAGCCAGGTCCTGGGTGCTTGTGAAAAAACTTCCTATCAAGGAAAACGTAAGAATCTTAATATGATAACAAGTATCTGCAGCTGCCTGAGAGCTCTGGTTTAATTAGTGTAGCAATCAGTTATCTTAACCTATTAGTAACTTATATCATCCACAGCATGCTGGTCCCTTGCATCTTAGGGTACCATACACCCTTTTTTTGTGGGTTATTTTCTCTCGTATTTCYGATCTTTTAGCTGTTTATTTAAATGTTTGTGCTTTTGGACTGTAAAATGCAAGAGTGTCATTCTTAATTAGTGCTGTCTTTTAATTTCTAGCTGCTGTAGTGTGTGTCACTCTTCTGAATCGCCTTGAAGGGGATCAGATCAGCAGCTCACATGATGTCCTTGTGGAGTACCAGCAGAGGCCGCAGAAGTTAGTGGGATATTTCATTAAGAAAAGTCTTGGGAAAGTATGAAACATCCATCTTCATTTCAGAGAAGGAGACCGCCTTTGTACAGATTCTGTCATGGTTACAACTTCTGTGCATTACAGGTCTTTTGCCTCAGAATAACTTAGAGCATTCCATGTGTCTGTGGGAGTTAATCATTTATGTCACTGTTCTTTGGGAACTGAATGTGCTGAAAGGACTTCAGTTAAGTTCTGCTTAGTTATGCATTATTGTGACATAAAAACTCACTTTTCTATGAATTGGAAGGTTGTGAAGGACAAGCCTGTGATAATACATGAAAAAGCTTTATTTATCCCTGCTGTTAAAGAAAAACTAGAAAGAAAATCAAACTTTATTGCCAAGTACATGCATACCAGCAAATTAACTTAAAAATACTAATAATTTTCTTGTTTTAAAATAATTATATAAGTTATAATTGTCTTTGTTGCTTCACTTGTAAAGAAAACTTAAAGTGAATGCATGTTTTTTTTCAGAATTTGACAAATAAACAATATTATTTTCATATATTAAAATTTCATGAAATTGCAAAGTGTGGGACTGAATTTTCTAAGCACTAAGGTCTTGACACKGGGCTGTTGAATATCTATACTTCCTAGATACTGATCCAACAATATTTAACTAAAGAATCAAATCATTACCCAGGAAATATTTATACATTACATAATTTTGCATTGAAGTACTAGCAATCTTGCTGGAGCAAGGCTCCAGCTTTTGATGAGGAACCAGAGGTATTCTGGAGATGCATAGCATGTTCACAGGCCTGTGTTATAGCAGCCTTTTTTTATTTGCTTTTGCTTTTTCTTTTTTTTTTTTTTTTTTTAATTGGCATTCATCTCCATCCTCAGGATGTAACACTCACTGTTGCAATGGTTTCCAGTTCTTCTGAAGAACTGAAGAATACCTCTCAACAGTACGTGCCATCAAAACTCCTTTTGCAGGTGCAGTTTTTTTCCACTAACATTGGCCTAAGTGTTTGGGTTTTTTTTAAATCATGCTCACTGTTGCTTTGCCTCTGTGGTTCGAATGTAAATATGTAGTCAGTCAAAGAAAATGKGTTTGTCTSTTTTTCTTTTTTCTTTTTGTTTTTTCTACTGCAGTGGGGGAGGGTCCAGTCTTAGCAGGGATCACAGGTCAAAAGGTCTGAATAAGCTCTCAAAACAGATGTCACTGACCCAGCAAAATGAGATTTTCTTTGTGAGGATTTTAGTCTGCAATGCTGTTAACAAGCACAAGTGTTAGAACTATGGGAGAGTGATGTTAGTAGTAGGCACATGCACCAAGTGACAGAAGCAATATGATGAAAACATTAAAAAGGAAGGGTGACTCATAAACAGAAAACTGCCAATGAGGATCAGCCTCCTTAAATTTGATGAATTTTTCAGCTGGAGAACATATTAGTAAACTTTTAGAACTTTTGTCTTCTTTTAATTCTAAACCCAAATTTTCTCATTTATGTTTAGGATATGCAGTGCATGTAAGTTTTCAGAGAAAATCTTTTTTCCCTAAACTTAAGGGAAGGAGGGAGGTGGGAATAGCTCCACATCTTTTATAATGGTTTCTCCCTTATTTAAAAAAAAAGTTTACTGTACCTACTGCTGATCTACTGCATGAAGTTTGTGAGGTCCTTTGGGAAATATGCAAAAAAGTATATCTTTTCTCTTCATGGCCCAGTTCTCGAAACTGTAACAAGGAGAGAAAAAGGAGATCAATATTTTGCTTCTGTGCTTCCCACCAGATGGAGTAAAGGGGTGTATGACAGCTTAAAATTAGAATTCAAAGGAAATGGAGTATCCTCCTGTTTCTGCTGATTCCTGTCCTCTGATGCTGTATTCCTAATACAAGAGGTGGCCCTGCAGTCACATCTGACATGCGATAAAATACCTTTCCTAACTTCAGAGGAAACTTGCCAGAATSTTACCCTGATAAGAACAATTGCATTTTTCCTTGTGACTGCAGCTGGATAGGGAGATAAAGAAATGAGTCTGTTGTGTGCATCCGGCCCTGAAGTTAACTTCCTGTATGTTTTTCAGAGAGTTACACAAGATTTACACATCTCATATGCAAGTCAATTGTTTAATATTCATTAAATAGCCAGTCACATTCATTCTGTAGAACGTGAATGAGGAATTGGAGTGGTGATATTTTAGAAAATATATATGGTATTACATGTATGTATTCAATATTACATAGTGCATTCTCTTGTGGTAGGTTTAAAAATCCTGCAAACTCCAGAAACCCATTTCAAATCAAGGGCCTGCTGTGGTTCTTGTGCCATCCTGTACCTAGCAAAACATTATAAAGTCAATTTAATCCAGGGCTCAGAAGTGATAAAAGAAAAGAACGAAGGTAGAAGATATGAATAGAGTGGAAGCAGGAAGGGAGAAAAAAGTGGTTTCTACCAGTGGTTTGTTCTGTGATTTATGGTGTCCTACCATTTTGTTAAAGAAGTGGTTGAGACCATAATGAAGACAGGCTATAATGCTGTGGTTTTACACTTGCAAGAGACTGAAAAAGTGCAGTAACTCAGTGAATTGACGGAGTGAGTTTTTATTTTTGGCATCTTGATATATTTCAGGGAAGAATTTTCTTTAATGGAAGGTGTGAAAAATCCTGAAAAGGAACATTTTGGAATGACCTATRTCCAGRAGTGGTTAGACAACAAATGTTTTTRTCTCTCCTTTAAAAACCTTTTTGATAATTTTAGTATTTCTTGGAAATATATACATGTAGTAAGCAACATATTTTTTTTTCCAACATTCTTCTTTGTAAAGATTTTCAATGCATTGTATAACATAACTGGATTTTTTCAAGTCTGAATCTCAATATATATTTCTAAATAAAATGTTTATATGGTTGAATCAGGGATGTTTTTCATTTCCMTTGTCAAGACAGGTAAAAGAAACCAAAGGAGCAAACTGGGCTTTGGGGACAGGATYTGCGTGCAAAAACTGAATACAAAAAGGCTCAATAATGTGTATGATGTTACTATTAAAGTTTGCTATCAGATGTTGAGGTTTCTTTTCCCTGAATTTTTCTCAGTCTTTGAGTGACTGAAAGTCATGTTTTATCTTTCTGAAATAATCAACATTTAATATTATACTCCAAGAGTATGGATTAAATTACAAATCCAAAACAGTCTTCTGCGTGGAGAGAAAGGAGGTCAGTAAACAGAGAAACCTTAAATCTGATTCTCTGTGATACAATARTAGAAGAAAGAGTAATGCTGACAGGTGCAGTACTTTTGCTTGGGTTACAAACGAAGCAGCAGCAAAAGACAAGACCTAGTTTTACACAACACATTAGATTGATYCCAGATGCTTCTTGTTGGCGCTGAGCTTGTAACTGTGAGAAAATTTTCAATTTACTATCAGTCTGTCATTTTACAAGAGTAAACTTCCTAGAGCTCCCTAGAAGCTCAAACAAACCACCAGCCTCCTTGGGAGATTGGGTCTGTTTTGTTGGTTTAACACATAGCTCCATTTTAATCAGCCCTATTATTTGACCTTGCCCACAACTAACGTTTTTCATCATGCCCTAACTTTGCACACAGGGAGCGTCTCCCAGGAAAGATGCTACTAATTGGTGTCATSCTGCAGGCACTTTGTCTGCAACTCAGGTCTGGGCCATGTAAATATTTACAAGTAGTACTCCTATTCATGTTAAAAGGAAAGCCTCATGATCGCTCAATGAACCTTGTGAAAGAAGTGGTGGGTGGTGATAGGAAAATAGGTTAGTTTGCCAGATTCCCAGCCTTATCCACACATGATTTGACTGCATTCCTGTCTATACCAAACTATTTTTGGCTCCTGGGCTCTAACCTATTTAACATATAAAATTATGTTCCTTTGAAAGTGCTTGCCAGCCTACTCTAATTACATTGTATTAAAACTGTAGGCTAGATGTGGCATGTTGATTGTATATTATAGAGCTGTCAAGTTTTAAAACCAGAACTGGATGCTGGCAGCATGTTTTCTGTCTTTTCAGTCCCAGTGATTTTGGATGACTTGTATATTATAAAAGTAAAGTTTTAAGTTAAAACTGAGAGAAAGCCTGCTAAAGCTAAGCAGAAGCAGAAAAGGCCAGGTCACTCTGTCTTGTCCTTACTCAAAGGCCCAATTCTTAGCCTGTTTTTTTTTTCCATTCCAGAAGGAGTGAGTGGAGCATATGATGAAATCCATGGCTTTTTAATTTACCCTGCAATACTCAAGATGTTGCTGTTGACTATGGCCACTTTGTCAAGGAGCCCTGAACACATCCAGTTCATATAGCTATTATCTGTTGTTTATTGTGAAATAATGATGTAGTTAATATAGGTATTTAAGAGACTTCTTGCTGATGTATCTTTCGAAAAATACTCACTACTCCTTTGATTTCCCTGCCTCTGTGCTTCATTATCATATCTTTTGTGCCAAGGGTTTGGTTTGGGGATGAGGGGATAATAGTTTGATTTAATAATTCTCATATTTCTATGACATTCCAAATAACACAATCAAGCTCATACAATCTGTAACTTCTAAAATTACTTTTAGAAATAATTTCCCAGAATGTCACTGCAGCTATTGTTTTTGGTGGAATCTTCATGGGATATCTTTTACTTTCCTAAATTTCATTCTWGAAAAAACAGGTCTGCTGCTGAAGGACACCAAATGAGGCAAAGGACAGGAAGGACAATAAGTAAGAGGACAGATGAAATCAACATAAGTTGATGGTGAAAAGCGTTTGTCTATATAGTGTCCCATATAGTAAAATGAGGAGTCAGTAGTTCATTAGTACTGGACAATAATTGCATACATAACAGTTGTTTCCTGTTATCATGAAAAGCTGTTTAGCATTAAAAAATAGAATGCCGCATTTTTGAGAATGTAAATATATGGAGCATAATAAATTACACACATCACAGTTGGATGWGCAGAGATGTTACAGAAAGACTTGTTCAAAATAATTTGGGAAATGGTTAATGTGAGCTGTTTTAGATCACACAGACAGGAGCTGTCTTCCATATCAGTTGCTTTGGTAAATAACTGCTTGTAATTCATTATGCTGAGTAATTTAAAATTTCCTACAAATGACATTCTGTAGATTCTGCTCCTTGGCTTTCCAGAACGTCTGTGTGAGGTGACACATATTAACAATTAACAGTATTTCAATTTTTGTTTCTGAAAAATATTTGTTTAAAAATACATACTTCCTCTGTGCGTGGAATTTGCATTGCTGCTATATCTCAGAATGTCACCTTTGATCCTAGAGAGCAAAATTACTGTCCATAATTTGAAACAGCRGGGATTTTAGCACTGCTTGACTGAAAACAGAAGTGCCATCCAAGTGTGAAGTGGAGCTCCATAGTGAGGTATTAATTAATCCTGGCTCTGAGGTATGTATGTGCTTAACGTCATTCTGGTAAACACTAAACTACTTAGTTTTTTAGTAGGTCCTAAGGACTTTCACATTTCTGTTTGACCTAAATAATTATTTCAGGAATTTTTCAGTCTCAGAGCAGAGAATATAAAAGGAAATCCCACCATATTTGAGAAAAAAAGGGTGTTTAGCTAGGTTTATTCTGTCTTGACTGCATCTGTGATTTCTGCTTTTTGGGAGGTGATTTTGACCAGTATGTAAAATTTATAAATTCATGACACCTACTTTGTCTGTTTTTTTCTCTATTTCTTGAACCCATGGAAAAGGTAAAAATGAAAACAGAAGTTTGCACCATTTCAAATACAGAGATTTGAACAGACTAATTGGTCAGTTTCCCAGGAAGTGGAGTTACTGTGTTTACAACACGCTCTGAAGGGACAAAACTGCTGACCCAAATCCAAAGCTTGGGACAGGGAAGGTGAGGCACTCAACACTGGCTGATTCTCATCCCRTGGAAACTGGCACAGCTAATTAGACCTGGAGATGTGCAGTTKTTCAGACTTATTAACTTTTTAAATTGCTGCCTTGGCTTCAATCTTACAGAAGTTGAATTCTTCTTTCATGGCTTGTGTACTCAAAAAGTTTTTATGTTTTGGGGGATTTTACTCATAATGGGGAAGAATAGTTGTGAATGTTAGAATAGGTTCATTCAATAGGAATGCATTTACAGAAAGTGCAATGATGCAATTTACTCAGCAATAATAAGAAATAAAGAATATTGTTTAGGCATCATGCTGTCTTACATGACTCAGATTCTAGGTGGTTTCAATTACCTTATATAATGGCTGATTATGTGTCTATTGAGAGAGAGAACTATAGAGAGAACTTTTGGGCATCAGATTCTTAGGCAATTCATTTGTCTAGAACAAAACAAAGAGAAAGTTTACTTCTCTGCTCACAGTGGCATTCCTTGTGGGTAGGGTGGTCATCCTCTACACCACCAGATTCCTGCTGGGTCTCCTAGTGGCTCTGCTACCACWGATCTGCACAGGCTCCCCTTCTGTTGAAAGAATTGCCTTTCTACCTCTTTGCTGAAGGAATTACTGCTGTAAGACTGATTTTCATCCAGGTGGCATGTAGCAATGAATTGACACAGTTTTCTGACTTTTTGGAATATTCCACCTCTGTGTAAGTAAAGTATACTGGAAAAGGAGACTGAAATCTCAAACATACACACTCTATAAGAGAAAATTCAACAGTCATATCATGATGCAATGGGTCATCTACAGTCCTAGATGTGTACTTATAAGGGTGTTCTAAAAGCATACTGACATTTTTAGGGCTATGTCGTGATAGTGTCATTTTCCTTTTTATTTTCCTACTATTCTTTTTACTTTTTTTTTCCCAAAAATATAATCGCCTGCAAATAAAACTGGCAAACACTGAAGTGACAGAAAGTCACAAAACTTTGGAAAAAGACAAATGTGTGTTACATATTTTTCCCCCATTCCCCTCATTGTTTGCATCAATTTTTATTGCAGAGATGTATAAACAAGTGCAGAACGTATGCTGTGGCATAAAGCAGCCTGAAGGCATTTATATAAACCCATCCCCTTACTGTTCATTGCACTGAGAAGAAAAACAGAAAGATGAGATTCCTCTACGAAAGCAAAACAAGAGGCAGAAACATAATCTCATCTTTTCTCAGGAAGCAGCCAAATCTCTTGCACTGTTTTCTAGTGCTGGGAATGATCAGCTTCTGAAGAAAACATTTGGACTGCTAGGTGAGATGATTCTGAGTTAGAAAGCCCCTAACAAGCGACTCTGCAAGTGGGTGAAGGAAAGAAAAGAAGATATGGGGCACGCCGTACACCAGTTCAAGGCTCTGTTTTGGAAAAATTGGCTCTGCCGTGTGAGGCAACCGGTGAGTGTTTGGAAATTATTAWAAAGGGAATATTTAAAATCTTTTATTATCTGTTGGAAAGAGCGTGCCTATTGATTTTCCCTTTTCACTGCAGATTGTTAAGGATAGGCTGGCTGCRAGTGGTTCTTGTTTTGCCTTTGGTCACCTAATTGTTGAAAACACAAGTGGARAACAACAATAGGTTGTTTTAATTCTGAAATGGCTGAATACAGCAGTGCTCCCCAATTTGTAAATGAGACAGAAATCTCATAGAAGTTTTGAAAAGCCACATCTTATCTTTTAATTAACATTAGACACCAGCAGTGCTGTAGCAGTGTCAAGGGGGAAAATCAATTTTCTTTGCATTACAGGTGCTTGTAGGTAATGTAARAAAGCTTGCATGACTGTGATCAAAGTCTAGATACAGGGAATGTATTGTGTATTAAAATTGTATCAACTTCTAAATTTCCTTTCTTTTCTGCTCTCCAAAGCCTAATTTAACCTTTCAAATTCCAATATGCAGAAAAATCTGGCAGCTACTTCAACAGAAGTCAAAACTAAAAGGTTGAAAATTAGATAATTAATTCACTTTACTGTGATTGAAATTATTTTTTGGGATAGAGGAAATGAATTTTCTCATGTGATAAAACATTTTTGTGAAAAAAAAAGGTCACTTCAATGAATACTTTCACACTGATTTCACTTGTCTGTAATGATCTGGGGATTTGCAATGAAGCATGTTGGCTGCTTTGGATAGGATTATTTCAGTCAAATAAACACACAGCTTTCAGTTTCAGAAATATTTAACCTCAATAAAATTGTGATTTAGAGAGGAATTTTTTTCTCCAAATTATTGAAAGTGATGGTATTTAATACAAAATAGACTTTTGGGGAAGGATGCTCTTGGTCATATTCTTCTCTGTTCCTGCACACTTCTGTATATTCAACTGGTGTGCATCAAGTGGCTTCTCAGTATCTCCTGCTTTTCTTCATATGGATCTGTTTCTATTCTTGTTCTGTGTAGTTTTCCATCATGTATTTCTGAAGGACTAAATATTAATTCACGCAATTTTTTTCATGCAAGTTTGCCCARTTGGTAGATTTCCTATATAGAAAACTCACTGAGATGCAGATTTCTCCAAGCCATGAATTTCAGGTGTGRTCCAAAGTATACTTAATTCTTGTTGAGAGGCAGAAGCTGCCCTGGGAAACTTGCAAAATCTCCTTGTGTGCTGTTGTGCAAACACTGAGCTGTGAAGGTTATGGGAGGAGAACACTGAAGCAGTTACGGGAGGRTAAATCCAGGTTGATCATCCACCGATGCAGAGGTAGTCAGACCCCTGTGAATATGAAGAGAGAAGCACCTCCTAAAAGATCTGATGTGCTTCAGCTCTGCTKTATGTCATGGAGATCTGTCTGTATAAGACAATTTTCTCCTTATGGTTATTTATCAGCAGTTAGGGCTGGGAGACAAGTGAGGGCTGTTGAACTAACAAAGTGTCGTGAGTGCCATGTGGCATTAGTTGATATCAAACAGTGTAGGGTGAAGGGGCTGTGACAGACGAAAGAGTTCTGCAAGGAACAGGTCTTTTGACTGAAATTCAGATTGGCATCAGTTGCTTCTCCTCAACATGGTTCAACATGGTTCAAAGGCAGGAGAGGGTTTTTTTGTATGTTTTGACATTTGTTGCAGTTTGAAACTGCACTTGTGCCAAAGACACAGTCTCATTTCTGTTTTCAGAAGCTTTTACTTCAGAACTACAGATTCTAGAAGCTCAGGAGATACACACTACCAGGCAAATGTACTACTTTAGTTTTCCATCACTGTATTTCTTAATTATTGTTTAAAAATGTTAATTACCATCTAAATTTGTAGCTAGATAAAGGATGAAATGTGATTCCCAAGTTCTGATGCCCTAATTTMGAGGACAATTGGAATTAAAATTGGCTGGGTTCTAAGTCTCTGTTACCAAAACTCASCCAGGTGAGTTTCTCCCAGGTACATCTCCCCAGAATGTCGTGAGCTCTCAGGCCCCAGTTCCCCTCAGTGCCTGGGCAAAGCAGCTGCCCAAGGACTGCAATGCTGCAATYTCACAAATGYCCTTTCTTTGGAGCTTCTGTGGGCATGCTCCTATTTGAACACAAGTAAGCCTTATACAGAAGTATTACTTCCCACGTTTACCACAAATAACTTTCTCATTAAGATCAATTTTGCATGCCTAATGTCTGCAGCATGCTGGTAGTTCCTTGAATCCTCCAACCTGTTGTTGTTGCCTCTGCAGCTGCCTGCTCGGTTTTATCCCAAATTCCTGTCAGCGGGAGCAGCAGTCCTGTCTAAAATGAATCCTCTGATGGGTTGTGCCAGCGATGGCAGGGCTGTGTTTGTTCCTCACTGCAGGCTGGCTCCTGGCTCAGGCTCCCAGCAGAGCCATTTCCCTTGCCCGGGCACTGCAGGYCAGGCCTCTCCTGACGAGAGAGATGCATTCCCGCCTGGCTCCCGGCCCTTCAGGGAGCAGCTGCCCGGTGCTGTGCCCTGGCTGCCAGCTGGGCTCGCTCCCCTGTAAACTCCCTGAGCTCTGGTCTCCCATGTCTCACCTGAGCTTTTTGTGGGACCTTCCCGCAGCCACTGCCTGTGATACGGGTGATAGCGATGGTGTGTGCCCCCAGGGACAGCTGGGCCCTTTCCAGTGCCCCTCCCCTCAGCTGCTGCAGCTGGCTCCATTCCCCATGGATAACCCACGGACACTCTGCAGCAATGGCTCTGCTCCACTGCAAGGCCCTCCATCTGACCCCAGACAGGAGGAATTTGGATGAATATGCCAAGGAGGGGAGGATGTTGCCAGGGCCCTGGGACTCTGCTATGTTTGATGGCTGTGGGCAGCCTCACTGGGACCCAAGGCCCAGTCAAAATGGGGCTTCCATGCCCTGTGTTCCCACATGGGAGAAGTCAGAGGGATACCACTCTCCAGATCAGCCCTTGTGCTCGGCCATTGTTTGGCTTGAGCTGCTGTGACATTGACTAAGGTCTGGACTCTTGGTTGAGGCTGGCTGTGATCACGGGGTCTGCCCTTCTGGGGTCCCTGGGATGGGTCCTCTACCTTGTTGGGTGGCATTGTTATGCACAGATCCCTGCACCCTGGAGAGGAGCTGGCCCTTGCTGCTCCCTAAAAGACTGGAAGCACCATCATCACTTTTATAAGGCTGGCTCTTGTATTGTTTTGAGAATGATCAGTTTAGATAAATGG